TGTTAAACTAAATTTATTGCTTTTCATTGGACAAATTTGCCAGCAAAAGTTGTGTGTATTATTGTACCTTTCATTAAGCTCTTAAGATTAACATGTACAGTATATACATGTGTGTGTGATCTTCCGCCTCTTCATTAGTTATAATAGTAGTATATCATCTATTTATTTTTAAATTTGTTTAAATTTCCAGTGGTTATGTAATTACTCATTTGAGATTTGTGAAATAAAGCTCTAGCTTGTAGTGTATACTTACCTAGTTGTACTTGCGGGGTTTGAGCTTTTGGCTCTTTGGTCCCACCTTTCAACTGTCAGTCAACTGGTGTATGAATTCCTGAGCCTACTGGGCTCTATCATATCTTCATTTGAAACTGTGTATTGAGTCAGCCTCCACCACATCACTTCCTAGTGCATTCCATTTACTAACTACTCTGACACTGAAAAAGTTTTTATCTAATGTCTCTGTGGCTCATTTGGGTACTCAGCTTCCACCTGTGTCTCCTTGTGTGCGTGCCACCCGTGTTAAATAATTCATCCTTGTCTACCCTGTCTATTCCCCTGAGAATGTTGTATGTGGTGATCATGTCTCCCCGAGCTCTTCTGTCTTCCAGCAACGTGAGGTGCAGTTCACTTGGCCTTTCCTCGTAACTCATGCCTATTAGTTCAGGGACTAGCCTGGTGGCATACCTCTGAATTTTTTCCAGCTTCGTCTTGTGCTTGACAAGGTACAGGCTCCATGCTAGGGCCGCATACTCCAGGATTGGCCTTATATATGTGGTATACAGGGTTCTGAAGGATTCCTTACACAGGTTTATGAAGGCAGTTCTGATGTTAGCCAGCCTCGCATATGCCGCTAATGTTATTCTTTTGATGTGGGCTTCAGGAGACAGGTTTGGTGTGATAACAACTCCTAGACCTTTCTTCTTGTCCGTTTCGTGAAGGACTTCATCTTCCATTTGATATCCAGTGTCTGGCCTACTATTTCTTCCACCTAGTTTCATTACCTTACATTTACTTGGGTTGAACTTTAGTAGCCATTTGTTGGACCATTCCTTCAGTTTATTTAGGTCTTCTTGTATCCTCATACTATTGTCCTCTGTCTTGATCCTCCTCATAACTTTTGAATCGTCAGCAAACATTGAGAGGAACGAGTCTATTCCCTCTGGGAGATCATTTACATATATCAGGAACAGTATAGTCCAAAAACTGATCCCTGAGGCACTCCACTGATGAAGCCTCGCCATTCCAAGACCTCACTCCACACAGTGACACGCTGTCTTCTGTTGCTTGGGTACTCCCTTATCCAGTGGAGTACCTTCCCTTTCACTCCTGCCTGCATCTCTAGTTTGTGCACTAGTCTCTTATGTGGTACTGTGTCAAAGGCTTTCTGGCAATCCAAAAATATGCAATCAGCCCACCCCTCTTTTTTGCCTGATTTTTGTTGCTTGATCATAGAATTCAATTAATCCTGTGAGGCATGAATTGCCATCCCTGTACCCATGCTGATGACGTGATACAAAGTTTGTTCTGCTCCAGATGTTCCAGTAGCTTTTTTCGCACAATCTTCTCCAACACCTTGCATGGTATGCAAGTTAGTGACACTGGCCTATAGTTCAGTGCCTCCTGCCTATCATGCCTTCTTTAATATCAGGACTACATTAGCCTTCTTCCAAACTTTTAGCAGTTCACCTATTACCGGTGATTTGTTATACACCATGGAGAGTGGCAGGCACAGTGCTTCTGCTCCTTCATTTAGTATCCATGGTGAGATTTCATCCAGGCCTATAGCCTTATAACCTATAGCTACAGACCGCATAGGGGCCTGTGTGTGTGTGTGTGTACTTGCCTATTTGTGCTTGCGAGTGTTGAGCTCTGGCTCTTTGGTCCTGCCTCTCAACTGTCAATCAACTGGTAATTACCTAAGTGTAGTTACAGGATGAGAGCTACACTCGTGGTGTCCTGTCTACCCAGTACTCTTTGTCATATAACACTTTGAAACTACTGACGGTCTTGGCCTCCACCACCACCTCACCTAACTTGTTCCAACCGTCTACCACTCTGTTTGCGAAAGTGAATTTAATTATATTTCTTCGGCATCTGTGTTTAGCTAGTTTAAATCTATGACCTCTTGTTCTTGAAGTTCCGGGTCTCAAGAAATCTTCCCTATCAATTTTTTCAATTCCTGTTACTATTTTGTATGTAGTGATCATATCACCTCTTTTTCTTCTGTCGTCTAGTTTTGTCACATTTAATGCCTCTAATCTCTCCTTGTAGCTCTTGCCCTTCAGTTCTGGGAGCCACTTAGTAGCATGTCTTTGCACCTTTTCCAGTTTGTTGATGTGCTTCTTAAGATATGGGCACCACACAACCGCTGCATATTCTAGCTTTGGCCTAACAAAAGTCGTGAACAATTTCTTTAGTATTTTGCCATCCATGTATTTATAAGCAATTCTGAAGTTACGAAGCGTAGCATAGGCTCCTCGCACAACATTCTTTATGTGGTCCTCAGGTGATAGTTTTCTATCTAGAACCACCCCTAGATTTCTTTCTTTATCAGAATTCTTTAAAGATTTCTCACATAATTTATAGGTTGTGTGGGGTCTATGTTCTCTTATTCCACATTCCATAACATGGCATTTACTCACATTAAATTCCATTTGCCCAGTGGTGCTCCATTTACTTTGTGTGTGTGTGTGAATGAGAGCTTCACTCATGGTGTCCTATCTTCCTGGCTTTCTTTGTCATTTAACCCTTTGAATCTACTAATGATTTTGGCATCCACCACCAGCTTGCTTACCTTGTTCCAACTGTCTATCACTCTATTTGCAAAAGAAAACTTGTTAATATTTTTTGACATCTTTGTTTCCTTAGCTTGATTCTGTGACCTCTTGTTCTTGAAGTTGCAGATTTCAAGACTTCCTCTTTGTCAGTTTTGCCAATTCTTGTTTCTATTTTGTATATTGTGATCAAATTGTCTCATTCCTTAACTGTCTGCTTTGGCATATTTAAGACCTTAAGCCTGTTCTTGTGGATTTTGTTTTCAGTTCCAGAAGCATTACACGGTATGCCTTTGCACCTTTTCCAGTTTATTGATGTTCTGCTTGAGATATGGGCACACAATATAACCACTACATATTCCAATTTTTGTCCCTGTGAACAATTTCTTTAATATTTCACCATCCAGGTATTTAAAAGCAATTCTGAAGGTTGAAAGCCTAGCATAGGCTCCTCCCACAATGTCCTTTATGTGGTCTTTTGGTAACAGTCTTCTATCCAATGCCACCCCCTTGGTCTCTTTCTTTGTCAGAGTTCTTTAATGCCTTTCCACATAATTTGTAAGTTGTGTGTGGCGTGTTTTCTCCTTTTCTCCCATTCCAACTTCCATAACATGGCATATGTTCACATTGATTAACATTTCCCAAGTGGTACTCCATACACTTATTTTATCCAGATCTTGAAGAGTATGATAATTAGCTAAGTGTCTAATCCATGCTAGTATCTTATCATGTTCATATAGTTGTGTATTCCTTCTGGTAGATCATTTATATAGATTATGAACATTACTAGTGCAAGAACCAAATCCTGTGGTACTCCAGTTGTAACACTTCTTCAGTCTGATCCAATGTCTCTGATCACTATTCTCATCTTTCTGATGGAAAATTTTCATCCATATCAGCAATCACCCCTCCAGCATTTTCCAGTTTCTAGAACAACCTTTTATGTGGGACTCTGTTAAAAAAAAAAAGTCCAGATAAGTACAGTTAATCCATCTCTTTCCTGTAAAATCTCTGGCTCTATCATAAAAACTAAGAAGATTTCTTACACAGGATCTTCCTGTTCAAAAGACTTATTGTCTGCCTGTTATTGTGTAATTTCTCTCCAGGTATTCTATCCATTTGGTTTTAACTTTTTTTCTGATGTTTTAACTTTTTTCTAATGTTTTACCACACTTGTTAAATATGCGTCTATAATCCTATCTCCTTGATTAATTTTTCTACTTTGTCTCAAGACTCCTCTATGTACTTTATGGTGTTCTCTGAAGTTGGCATTGTCTAGTTCTCTGAAAATTTTATTTTGCATAAGCACACTTTAAAATTGTTCATTTAGTGTTTCATACATTTCCTTTTTGTTTTCTGTGAGTCAAATCCCCATTTTCAAACTCTGGATTTTATCCTTTACGTACAGCTTGTTTTTAATCATTTATAGAAAAGTCTTGGTTCTGCTTTACATTTGTCTGTTACCCCTTTCTCAAAGTTTCTTTCTGCCTCTCTTCTCACTACTATGTAGCTGCTTCTTGCTTGTTTGTATTGCTGATAGGTTTGAGGGTTAGGCCTCATCCTGTACCGATTCAATTTTTCCTGTCTGTTGATCTCAGGCCCTCCCACAGTTTCTCTTGAACCAATCTTGTGTGTGAAATTACCTAAGTGTAGTTACAGAATGAGAGCTATGTTCATGGTGTCCTGTCTTCCCAGTACTCTTTGTCATATGGCACTTTAAAATTACAGTACTGATGGTTTTGGCATCCATAGCCTTCTCGCCTGTTCCAATTGTCTACCACTCGTTTGCAAAAGAAACCTTTCTAATATTTTGTTGGCACCTTTGTTACCTTAGCTTGAATCTGTGACCTCTTGTTTTTGAAATTGCAAGTTTCAATTATGCCTCTGTCAATTTTGCTGAATCCTGTAACTATTTTGAATGTAGTGATCATATTGTCTCGTCTTCTTTTGTCTTCTAGCTTTGGCATAGGTAATGCCTCTAGCCTCTCCTTGTAGCTCTTGTTTCTCATTTTCAGAATCTGTTTCATAGCATGCCTTTGCACCTTTTCCAGTTTATTGATGTGCTTCTTGAGATATGGGCATCATACAGCTGCTGCATATTCCAATTTTGGTCCTACAGAGGTTGTGAATAGTGTGTGTATGTGTGTGTGTTTTCATGATAATACATTTGTATATTTATCATTGTTTAATTATATAAATAATTTTAATTCTTGCAACTTTGAACAGAGGCACAACAAGAGGCTGAAGTATCTAAGCGGCGCCGTGACTGGGCCTTCAGTGAGCGGGACAAAATTGTTCAAGAGAGAGAATCCATCCGAGCTCACTGTGATGAGCTGCGACGGAAACGTGACCGAGCAGTTTCAGAATTAGCCATAGCTCTACGGGACTCGGATGACATTAAAAAGCAGCGTAATGAAACCTCAAAAGAACTGAAAGAACTGAAGTAAGAGACATGCAAGTGCATTTGACTAAACAAACAAAATTAGAGAGATTTAGACCCAGTTGTTTCCTTGAGAATTTATTAAGTCTTAAGTGGTTTACTCCTGGACTCACAATCAATGGACCCAGGTTCTATACCTGAGAACATTTCTGTTCACCTGATGACTCTATTCACCTAGTAGTAACTAGGTACCTGGAATTTTTGTCAGCTGTTGTGGGTTGCATCCTGGAGGTCAGTAGTTGGCCTCGGAGGACATCAACATGCCTAACTACAGGCTTCCTATCCCCAACAATGAGGAATTATTATTATTATTATTATTATTATTATTATTATTATTATTATTATTATTATTATTATTAATTGTCATCGACACTTCCATAGAAATAAACATTTCATTCACCTGGGCTCTAGGAGACTCAAACAATATACTCCACGAGTGTAAGGCAGAGGCTCTGTCCATTCAGCGGTGAGAATTTTTGCCATAGAATTCTAATAAGCCTGTGAGGCACGATTTACCATCCCTGAACCCATGCTGGTGGTGTGTTACAAAACTTTCCCTCCAGATGTTCTACAAGCTTTTTCCTCACGATCTTCTCCTTCACCTGGCATGGTATACAAGTTAGGGAAACTGGCCTGTAGTTCAGCACCTCTTGCCTGTCACCCTTTTTTGTATATTGGAACTACATAAATTTTAGCAGTAAAATAGGTACCTGGGTGTTAGTCAGCTGTCACAGGCTGCTTCCTGGGGGTGGAGGCCTGGTCGAGGACCGGGCCGCGGGGACACTAAAAAAGCCCCGAAATCATCTCAAGATAACCTCAAGATACATTAGTTGTCTTCCAGCTTTCTAGTAGGTTTCCTGTTTCCAGTGACCTGTTATTCACCATAGATAGTGGCACACTTAGTGCTTCTGTACCTTCTTTTAGTATCCACGGTGAGAGTCTGTCAGGCCCAACTGCTTTTGTCACATTCAGCTCCAGCAGATTCCTTTTGACCTCATCACTGATAAGCTCAAATTCCTTCAAGGTTGCTTTCTTTACTACCTTCTCTCTTAGTACAGGGGCTTCTCCTTGCTCTATTGTAAAGACCTCCTTGAATCTCTTGTTGAGTTCTTTACACACCACCTTGTCTTTGTCTATCTGTTCTTCCCTTCAGATACACAGTTAAAACTTTTTCTCAGTTTTATCACTTGTTCCTTCAATGCTGTTTTCCTCCCGGTATGGCTGTGTAGTAGTTTTGGTTGGGTCTTCCCATATTCTAGAGAATATGTATGCCCTAGAATGCAGGCAGGAGAGAGATACATAATAATTTACACTTTGATAATACTAGTAGGACTGGGTTTAAATCTACACACAGAAATAACACCACATGAGACCAGAAGGCATGTCAGGATGTGCAAAAAGGCCCCATTGAAAAGTAGAGGTGTAATAGGCACATTGAGAAAGAATTCGATCAACAACTAAAGCCCAAGACTTTTTACCACACTCCGTCTACACTTACTGGCCGGCCTCTTCCTAAAAAAATCGAGTATAGATAATGTTGAAATACTACTCAGCGTAGTCCCTTGGTTGTTCCATGATGGTGTTTTGTTTCTCATAACTTAACATATGGGTGTCTCAGAGTTTTCTTATCTATTCCAGTTCATTTTGTGCTCTAGCCAATGGATCCTAATCTTGAGGTTTACTATATTTGTGATTCCCAGGTGCTTGGCTCCATGGCTAGGCTGTTATGCTGGGCACTCCTCTCCAGAGAGAGACTGTTGCCTGTGTTGAGTGACCATTTCGTTTACCCTTCAGGTCTTGTCTTGGCCGAGTTTGTGACTATTTATTTGTGCGTTTTTTATTTTAGTTCAAGGATACCCTCATCCTTCCTTGTCTTTGAATTAGATGTAATTTAGTTCAGTCAGCATATTTTGCCTTGAGGTTTCCCAGTGCTTATCCTTGGTGTATGGTGGTTAGGTTGAGCGTCTTGTTGCTTGTTACTGATTACGCCCAGTTGCTTGCCACCCAGTAATATTAGCAGTGGCAAATCAGATAGGGGATATGCAAATTACTATTTTGTAGAGTCATGTGAGGTACCACATGCAGTTTTGTGACCACTATGGGAACTCCCTTCTGCCTCCACCATTCTTTCTGTTGAGTTCTGAATTGCTAACACCATTATGTTTTGATTTTAAAATATCTGCAGTACCTAATTCACATTTTATATGTTGCTTTTTCTAATTGTTTCAATTTTTTTAATTTCAGAGAGAGATTGGAAGCAGAGCAGGAGAAGGCAGCTGTTGTACGTCAGTTGGCAGCACACAATCATTCTCGCGATTCAGCAATTGACACTGATATGCAAGAATGGGAAATAGAGACCCTGCATTTGCCTATTGTAAGATATATTCGTTTGCTTCTTATAGATGAAATATACTAGTTAGCTGTAATAAATAATTATTGTAATAAGTGGTTGATAACAAATTGGTCATTACAAAAAGGTAATACTTCTCCTTATAAAAGAAAAAGCTCCTTTCTGAGCAAGCCACTCAGTCAATCTATTGTGTAAGAATCCTACTTCATGGGACTCTTCCCAAGAATCCCTCTCTCCCCCAAGAATCCCTCTCCCCCCCAAGAATCCCTCTCCCCCCAAGAATCCCTCTCCCTTCCCCCAAGAATCCCTCCCCCCCAAGAATCCCTCTCCCCCCCAAGAATCCCTCTCCCCCCCAAGAATCCCTCTCCCCCCCCCCAAGAATCCCTCTCCCCCCCCCCAAGAATCCCTCTCCCCCCCCCCAAGAATCCCTCTCCCCCCCCAAGAATCCCTCTCCCCCCCCAAGAATCCCTCTCCCCCCCCAAGAATCCCTCTCCCCCCCAAGAATCCCTCTCCCCCCAAGAATCCCTCTCCCCCCAAGAATCCCTCTCCCCCCAAGAATCCCTCTCCCCCAAGAATCCCTCTCCCCCCAAGAATCCCACTCTCCCCCAAGAATCCCACTCTTCCCCAAAGAATCCCTCTCTCCCCCAAGAATCCCACTCTCCCCCAAGAATCCCACTCCCCCAAGAATCCCACTCCAACCCAAGAATCCCACTCTTCCCCAAGAATCCCACTCTTCCCCAAGAATCCCACTCTTCCCCGAAGAATCCCACTCTTCCCCCAAGAATCCCACTCCCCCCAAAATCCCACTGCCCACAAGAATCCCACTCCCCCACGTATCCCACTTCCCCCACGAATCCCACTTCCCCCACGAATCCCTACTACTAGGTGGTGCACGAGCCGGGAGTAATTTCACAAATACTCTGGGTGCATGCTCCTAGAGTCCTCTTCCCTAGATGCCCTGTAAGTACTTCCCTTGGGGGTCTACCTCTGCAAGGTCTTTTGCTGCTCGGTGTTTGACCGCCCTTGGAGTCGGCTATGGTGTTTCATGCACCATTGTTTGCCTCCGGGTAGGGGTAGTTTCGTTGGGGCACAGGGTACTGTGCAGCTAGTTGTCACCTATCATAGCGGCTGGCTGTGTTCCGCCTGGGCACGTTGTCTTCTGGCGGAGTTTTTCTTTTGTTTTTGTTTTCCTGCCTGGTGGGGGGGGTCTGCCCCTTGGTTTTGGTCACACTATTATATCTCTGTTGTCCTCCACTAGGCCCCCCGTGAGTGTACACATCCTGGGGGTTCAGGTTTAGCAGTTTGCTTGGTAATCTTGGGCACTGGTTACCAGTACCCTGCCTGGGCTTCCCATAACGAGATACGCGACTAAGGGCCCTGAGAAACCCCGCGGGGGCTCTTTGGTCCGATGGATGCGACCCCTTGGGTCCTCCTCTCGCTTCGTGTGAGTTTGAAGGTTGCTGTGTCCCCTTGTCTCAGGGTGACAATCACCAGTTGTGTTTCCGTCATCTTGCCTATTGGGTCGGTGACACCTTCGACCCAGAGTCTTGAGTGGTGTTGCTTGCATGTTCTCCAGTTCACCCAGGCTACTGAGCTTGATATTCGAGTGCAGGCAGCTTTGACATTGCATGCTCGTTTTAGGTTGCTACCCCGGATGCCCCGAGACTTCTCCATTTTGGATATATTGACCCGGACTTGGGGGTATTAGTCGCTTTGACTGTGGTTCACTCCATGCCCCCTTGTCCTTCCCCCTTCCCCTTCTGCTATCCGTCCTGGTCCTCTTTCTCTTTCCCCCCCCCCCCCCCCCCCTGCTTCCGGCTCCGAAGCGACTGAGGGTTTCAAATTTGGGGCAGGGTTTAGTTGATGCTGAGACTTGAGGGGTTTCGAGGGATGCCCCTTCCGGTGTGGCGCCGGAGGCATTCAAGTATGTTCCTCCAACCGGAGCTGCTTAGTCTGACCAGTGGGTCCCCTTCGTTCCTGCTTTCTCGGCTGCTCCTGCCTTTTCTTTAGAGGTAGGGGGTTTGGAGGATGGCTCGGTCCCGGGTCCTCACGAGGAGATTCCCGGGGCGGGATTGACTTGAAGGCCTTGGGGGCCCGTTGGACCCCGCTTAGGTTTTTCTACCCCTCCGAGCAGGCTTGTTGTTGCAAGGAGTGGGGTTTTCTGTTCCTCCCTCCTTGTATGAGTTGGATTTGGCATCTACCCCTCCAGGGGTTTGGTTCCATGCTCCCTTGGGTTCTTCGGTCCCGTCTTTCCGTAGGTTTTCGGCCTCCTGCATTCAGCCTCGTGTGGTGCTGGAAATCATCACGGCTTACCGCCTGCACACCAGGATTACGCCTTTATAATGGATCCTGCTTCTTTCGCATTTGGGTCTTCTTGTCCTTACCGGGTTCGTTATGAGGTTCCGGAGTCGTCCTGGCTTGTAGACTGCCCTTACTTCTCATTGGCGTCGTGGCATTCATTCTGCCGGTCCCATGTGTTGAGTGGTGTGAGGCTCATACGGTGGTCCGGGTTTTCCTGCGGGTGACTTTGAGTACCTCAAAGCGTGCTTGTTCGCCCCTGCCATTCCTCGGGATGTCGGCATTGTGCAGCTTCACGTGCAGATTCCCTCCCTCTCGGCAGCGCTTGTTGCTGAGGACTTGCACGCTCAGGATCTTCGGTCTTGTGGTTCTTTTCTCTTCTCGAGTTGTCCTCGGACTGGCTTGAGGAGGAAGTGGAGGTGCTTGGGGCCGGTCATTGGTCGGGTGCATTGGTCTTGGAGGTGCATGTATGTCAGCTCTTTTGAAGCTGCTTGCATCAATCCTGCGGGATGCAGTGTCGCTGTTTTTTGCTTCCCGTCTTGCGTGTCGGTAGGTGGTGCTTGCTTCCTCTGTGAAATCCACTTGGGCCCCTGGCTGTTAGGTTGTCTTTGCCTTTTTGTCCCTTGCTGTTTGCAGAGTCTGCGGTGGTGCAGTATCTGCTGGCGGAGCCGCTGCAGCTTGTGTTCGGCATTGATGTTACTTCTGTGCCATTCTGCAAGCGGTTTCATGCGTTGTTTCACCTCTGGCCTGCTCATGCTCCACCTGAGCCATCCTATTCATTGGACCAGGTGCTCTCCTTTCTCTCTTCTCCTCGGTTTGTGGTGGCCCCTTCGGTTCAGGATTGTTTGGCTAAGGCTCTTTTTCTTATTGGCAGTGGCCTCTCAAGGTCGGGTCAGGAAGCTTCATGCTCTCCTCTCCTCCTTCATTTGCAGCCGTCTCCTTCTTTTCTGGCGAAGAATGAGACTGTTGCTTTCTGGAGGGGTCCTTGGGTTGTTGATGCTTGGTTGGTTAGGCCGGGGGTGCATCATGTGTTGTGTCCAGTTACGGCTCTCCATCGTTACCTGTGCGCCACAGCCTCGGTGACTGGGGACAAACTTTGGGTTGACCTGGTTTCCCCCTTCTTCCCTGTTCCAGGGATCGGGTCTTCCAGGTCGTTCGCAGGGTTATTCGGTCCAGTCAGCCTGTGGTCTATCCTTGTGCCCACAACATTCGTAAGTTTACTGCACTGGCAACATTTTTTCTGGTAACATGTTTTGGGCTGATATTCGGGCATGGGGTTTTTGGAGGTCGAACAGGTTCCTGGCTTCTCGCTACATTGTCAACGTTCCTGGGCCTAGTCGGGTCTGTGTCGCATTGGGTCGGCGGTTGCAGCCAGTTGTCATGATTTCACTTTGAGGAGCGAGGGCTGACCGCCTCCCGGTTAAGTCCCTCTTGTTTTGTCTTTAGATAAGTAGCTCTGGGGAACTGAAGGGGCTTCTCCCAGAAAACCAGCATTGACTGTAATGAAATGGGTTTTCTGGGTGAGACCCGGAGGCTCCCAGGCATCCCTCCCTCCCTCTGGTTGGCAGTTTTTTGCATGTTTTGACATCCAGCCTCTGAACTGGCGTGCGCTCCTTCCCGTCTGGGGCTCCTTCTCCTTCCTAGGGTTCGTGCACTGACCGCGGCGCAGTGACGTGTTGACGTCATATTCGTTTGCTCGTTTTCACTTGAGGGAGTTCTGTCCACTAGTTCGGCTTTTGGTAGCAATATTTTAACCAGAATAGGGGTTTGTTTTGGGACGCTTAGCTTTCTGGGAGCCTGACCCGGTCGATGGCAGACATAGAATGCTTGCAACCACACGGGGGTTTCTATAGGCCTTTGCTGCTCATGCTTCTCTGAGGGAGGCCAGGTTCTGGCTCATTGTCCCCAGTAGGCCTAGAACTCCATGCGCATTGACTGATGCCAGGGTCTAATACATTCATATCAGCCCGGTTAGCTCCGTGGAGCCTCTGGGTCTCACCCAGAAAATGGCTGTTTCATTACATTCTACGCTGGTTTTTTCAGGGGGTAGTGTCAGAATCAGATGTTGGCTTCGTTGTGGCTGGAGGCCGGGATGACCCACATTATGGGGGCAGTGATGGAGCAATTTATGTGACAAGCATTGCCAAAGATGGCCCTTTCGAAGGGAAACTCAGGTATGATAGTATTTTTCTGTCTGTGTTCAGTTCATTTATAATAATTATAATTATCTATTATGTGAAAATTTATAAAGCTTGTTTAGCATGAGGGCTGGGTTATATCAATCACAATGATTATTTATAAATATATCAGGATGGTTCACTAAATTTTCACATGTTTTATTATTATATCTTTTTAATCATCATATTTAAGAGCATGTATTCACAGCTGTTCTTATGTTCTGGAACATCTTTGCTTAGCTTCTATTATTAAGCTTAATTATTAGTTAATTAATATTAACACCAAAATATTGCTAATTGTAATAAAAGGCATAACCCATCTCTTATGCTATATTATATTTTAAATAAATCTGTTTCATGTTAGGTATAAAATAATCAATTTGCCACCAAACTTCAATATACCCTATTTATAAAAGTCAACATTCGCTCATTCAACAGCCCATAACAATTAAATAGAGGTAGGACTGTAAAACACGGCTTAGGTATTTAGAAGTATAGGTACCTTGTACAGTATTTAAATATGTATGTTAAACTTATTAACTTTTCTTGTTTTATTATATTTTGTACTGATAACAATAGTGCTCCTTTATATTTTAATTGAGAGAGGTTACCTGAATAGCCAAAGCCTTTTTTTTAATTTGAATTTGAAGGTTTTCGCTTTGATAAAAATTATTCTTTATTTATATTTTTTCAGGGTACATGACCAAATAGTTAGATTAAATGGTAAAGAATGCCTAGGAGTAGACCGTAGCAGCGTATATGCAACTGTGGCTAGTGGTGGTGGATGGGTCGAGATGACTGTGAGACGGAGGCGGAGTGGAGGCCGTAGTCTCCACACCGTGCACCTTCACTGTCCACATACCTCACATCATGGACTGACTCTTCACACTGGGGTTTACATTGCAAATATTCTTCCAGGAAGTCCCGCAGCCAGAGAGGGCAATTTGGCTGTTGGGGATAGGGTGCTTAATGTAAGCTTCATGTACTTCTTATACTTATTCCTCAAATCTTTCAGTAATAATATATTACATTTGACTAAATATTATGGCTGTTTATTGAATTAAATCTAAAATTGCATTTGTTAATACTGTATTTACATTGTAAATTAATCCTAGTTATTAATACAATTTTTTTTCATCAGATAAATGGCAAGCCTGTTGATAATATGGGTAGTTGTGAAGAAGCACAATGTTTGCTAGATTCAGCAGGGGAAGTTGTGCAGCTTACTACGCTAAAGTCTCATGGTTCTTCATCTCTTTCGGCACCACTCAGCTCTTCCTCCAGTGGTCACAATATCACTGAAGATGACAAGTCAACTTCTTCATCAAGACCTTATTCTTCACCTACTTCACCTGCTAAAGATTCTGGGATTAGTCCAGGCCGATCAGGAAGCCGAGAGCTTGTGAAGAAACTCATCCCAGGATCAGGTGGATCACATAATGAGGACTGCAGTGGTAAAAGATATGGAAGTAGTGAGAAGGTGGTGTACAATGTTACCAAAGCTACTGGTGAAAAAGGTTCTGGCACAGGACCTTTAGACCTCTTCAAAAATATGGTGAGACCTAGACGACACAGCAAAGAACGTGGAGATGGTCGCAGTGAGAGTCGAGACAAAGATGAAAAGAAGAAGCATGTCATTTCTGTGCTTGACCATGAAGCAGAAAGTGCAATAGCTCAGTTAGATTCAGTAAATAACTCTTATCATCATAAAAGTGGGAGTAATGGTGGCACAAGTACAACTAAGAGAAGCAAAAAGCGTGACAAGGAGAAGTCAGGAGGAACATGGCCAAAGTACAGAGGGGGAGGTATCAGTACTTGGGATGCAAACTCTGGCAACGTTATGTACACACAACGTAGAAAAGAGAGACCACCGTTTTCGGTTTTTTTACCATCTCCAAACGCTTCTCCATATTCACATGAGGAGAAACCTTATGAGTCATATCATCATGAAAAGCATAAGAGCTCCAGATCAAGTTCGAGCCCACACAGTCAACAATTTTCTATATATCAAAGTCATGATGGTGGTGGAAAAACTTGTTCTTATAGTAGTGCAAGTCAAGTTTATGCCAGTCCACAGTCTTCTAGTAATGTTTATCCAAGTCAGGAGTTATACTCCAGTGGTGGACCCCGAAATCCATCAGTAGATAGAAAGAGTGAAGACTCGGAAAGAGACAGAGGAGATCGTTTGAGCTCTTTCACTCCCTCTGATACCTCCTTAGACTTCTCTGTAAGATCGGGAAATGTCGGAAAGGAAGAGCTAGAGTATTATGTGAAGAAGACTATAATAAAAAGTCCTCAGAGTGACAGTGAGAGTAATATAAGCCCTATTGATCCTAATGCACCTCAGTCTTTAACTGGACTCTCTAGTTATGGGTCAAGACCATCTCCTCTTCATCATGGCGGAGACCGAACGCCTTCATATTCTCGCATCCATCATCCCCATGCAGGCCTCTATTCCCCACCCACCCCAGCCCTTAGATCGCCCCCACCTTTTTCTCCATCGTCACTCTCCCATTTCTCAACACACACACACTCATATCCACACAGCATGATTGTTTCTTCTGCAGTCTCGGTATCTCCACGTTATTCATCTCCACATTCGTTCCCAATAAGCCCTTCAAATTTTCTTCCATCATCTAGAAGTGGAGACAGTATTATTCATTTCCCGGGTTCAGATCGTGATAGAGATGTACGAGCCTATTATGAAAGTCGACAAGCATCATCGCCTACTTCCATTGGGATGATTGGAACAGTTGGCAGTGGAGCTTTGTACCACTCACCATCACCGTCCTTTGAGCTTCCAGGACATTATAAACCACGTACTGTTCATCTTCATCCTTATCGCTCGGCATCAGATGAACCACCACCACTACCTCACCATTCCTGCCCGCCACCTTACCATAGTTATCAGCGCTCTGTGGGTACCATGCCTCGCAAGGAAGATGAGCGTATTAGGCAAGTTTGAGATTGTGTTCATTTTTGACATCTGCATTATATTTTCAAGATACCATTTGCCTGTACACCTAAAAATTTTAATAGTACAGTACTAGGAAACTATAAATCTCAATTTTTTATTCTATTTTTGTATGTGTTATTACCGACTGTGTTTGTATTTAAGGTAGAGTTTTGTGCTTGTGGCTTCTTGTCTTCTTTGTATATTTTGTCATATACTATAGTTTTAAAACTCCCAGTAATTATACCGCGCACAACCTCCTGGAGTTTATTCCAACCATCCACAAGTGTACTTATACCGGCTACCTTTATCTACAGTAGCTAGGTATCCCTGGTTTCATGTGTTTTGAGATTTCCATATTCTCCCACAAGCATTTCATGCATTGTCTCAAAAATTTGTAAAAAAAAAAAAATTAATAATTCTTGAGATATTGAAAAGAAACCTTGAGTGAAAAAAATTAACAAAAATAGCAAAGCTACAAGAAATATCTTGAACCCTTAAATATTGTACACAAGTGTAAACCAAAAAGTACTGTATGTTTATACTAGTAAATGTTGAATTTAGCAATATAGCTCCATAGCATCCCCCCAGACTACTTGTTGCCCACACCAACCACAATTCATCTGCCCCACCCCATATACAGTATATATATATCAGTACTGTACAAATCACTGATATGTTGAGTACATAACATATTTGTGGCCAGTTCTAAGCCTTGTTTGACTACACTATTGACTTTGTTCCCATGCTGACACTATCTTTTTAATCTCTCTAGTTCCTTTTATACTTTTTGTTTTAAATAATCCTTTGTGTGAAAATGCCAGACTCTTTTTCAACAATCCAATTGCTGTACTGTATTTTCTATATGCACTTTCATTTCTTTCTCTAATAACTTCAATACTCTAATTCTTTCATAGAACTGCAGCAGATTTTCTGTGGGGAGCCCCGTTGGCTCCCTGGAGCTATCAGACTGATATTAGCTATATTATTCTGGGGCTTCAGTCACATGGAGTTCTGCCTACCGGGAATCACGAGCCAGAACCTGGCTCCCTCAGAAAAGTGCAGGGAGCAATGGCCTATGGAAACTCTACTCTTTGAGAGTACAGTACTGTATATTCATGTCTGTTTTCGACCTGGGTTAGGCACCCAGAAAGTTAAGCGCCCCAAAACAGACCCCAATTGGTAGAAAATTGCAACCCAAGACTGACTAAAGCCCAAGAACTTCCCCCAAGAAAAATATATCAATGACGATCAAGCAAATCGTCATCAAACTGACGCGCTGCCCGTTCGAGCCGACGTCTCTTCCCCTCCTTCCCCCGTATCCAAGCTGGCCACCTGCTCATCAGTTTGTAGACTGAAGCCCGCTGGTGCTGACGTCTCCTCCTGGCCTCATTTTCCTGTCAGGGTTTTACTCTTGTGGTTGTACCTGCGGTGTGTAGGGGCATTGGCCAGGAATAAGCAGTACTTTGGGCTGCATGCGCTTAGGGTTCTCTTCTGTGGGTGTATTCTCAGAGTGATAGTCGTCTGTTTTGCCTCAGTCATGCTGCTTGTTGGGTCGACGACACCTTTGACCCGGAGTCATGCGAGACTTGTTCTCTGCTCATCATCCGATTTACCTATTCTTCCTCGTGAGATATTAACCCTTAAACTGCGCAAAAGTCATGTGATGTGTGACATTGAGATCAGTTTTTAAATTTTCTGGAACTCTTTCAAATGTTTTGTGCATAATCTACTAGGCAAATGCTCCAACTTTGTCTAAATGATACCAGTGTAACTTGAAAAACAAGAAAATATAAAATAATTATAAAATTGAATATTGAAAACTTCAGATTTTGAAATCGGCTGCAAAAAATATAAAATATCACCAACTGTTCATTTGGTGTTATTAAGCTCTCAGAATAGCATATGATCTTCATTTTCATATATTTAGAATACTGTATAGGTTTTCAGTATAGTTTACTGTAAAAAATAATTGTCAATATGGCATTTGAAATATGTGCAAATTTAGACAACAAAAATTTATAACTCCAAACGTTTAGAGTTTATGAAAAATCAATTCTATAGGGATTGTAGAACAGACAGCTGTGAGAATCGGTCAGAAACAAGATTTTTGGATACTGAAGTAAGTTGAAATTCTAGTTATAGATATAATATAAGTTGAAGTTATCAACAATGAATAAGACATTTCTAATTCATGAATTTACTTGTATGTTGTGATAAACATTGTGTGGCATTCATACTCAAGTATGTGAAAGTTGTAGGTCACTGTGTGTTGAAATGAAGTCAGGAGAAAAAACCCCCCAAAAAACAAAATATTGGAATAATTATAATGATTTAGGGGATATATTTAGGGTATACTTAATATAAGTAAAATGCCCTAATCTGGTCCTTAATCATTAAAACAACTTAAAGAAACAAGGGGACAATAGAGTTTGAAATCTGTGAAAAAATCAGCCCAAAACAATTCAAAGTCCCAAGTTCTGAGAGTTGTGACTGATTTATTTGTTGACCAATTTAATTGTGTTCACATAGGTAGGGGTATGCATTCCCCAGGGTGTAAAGTTACAACAAATTGAAATAATAAACAAAGAAGGAAAACCTTAAAACCTAAAAAAAAAAATCTAAAAAAAATATTTTTTGGACATTGTTGAAAGTAACTGATGATAATATTGGGCAATATATTTATATGATATATAACAAAATAGAGCATAATAACTTACTTACTCCTTATTATTTGTGTTATTATGTATTACTCACCAATGCAATAAAGGCACCAGCTGGGGGGGCTACCCTATTCGATTAGGGGACGGAGGCCTTTGAGCCTGCTCCTTCCTCCGAGGCTTCTGGGTCTTACCAGCAGGCCTCCTTCCTTGCTGCCTTTCCCCTGGACTCTGTCTTTTCTTCAAGGGTGGAGGATGACTCTGCCCCGGAGCCTGGATTTGGGGCTGGGGGGGGGGCAGCCCGGGGCACTTGGGGCCCATTTGTTCCTACCTGGGCTTTGGTGGCCTTGGGGCAGGGTTTTCATATCCGCCTTCCCTGTACGAGTTTGTGTGTGTTCAGTCGTCGTTCCCCCCCACCCCAGGTGGGACTGAACACAGGGTTAATCGGTCCGCAGGGTTAATCGATCTAGCCAGTCTGCCTGCGGTCTACCCTGGTGCCCACGATGTTCAGAAGTTCACAGCTCTTGCTGCTGTGTTTGGGAACATGTCTTAGGCTGACATTCAAGCACATAGGTTTTGGAGGTCTAACAGGGGTCCTGGCTGCCCGTTATCTCGTTATTGTGCCATGCCCTCAGTGGTCTTGTGTCGCCTTGGGTCAGCGCTGGCTCCCACAAAAAAACATTGAATATAATGAAACACCATTCTTTGGGCGAGTCCCGGAGCCTCCGTGGCACCCCTCCCACCCTCCGGTCGGTGGTTTTTGTTTCCGTTTACTCAAAACTGTCTGTCTCCAAACTAAAGACAGATGGCTGGCTCAGGTTGGGGGGAAGGGGGGGGGCATTGTAAACGAGCAGCATGTCTGGTTAATTATGGTTTGCTTGTTTCCTTGTTTTTCTTGGAGGGGGAGGGGGGAGTTTTTAGCCTCTGTTTTGGTCTCGGGTTGCAATTTTCTACCAGTTGGGGTCTGTTTTGGGGCACCTACCGTTCTGTGTGCCCATCCCCGGTTGATGGCAGACATGAATATATTCCCAAACGGAGGAGTTTTCATAGGCCTTTGCTCCCTGCGCCTTTCTGAGGTAACCAGATTCTGGCTCGTAGTTCCCTGTCGGCAGAACTCCATGTGACTGAAGCCCCAGATTAATATAGCTAATATCAGCTCGATAGCTCCAGGGAGCCTTTGGAGCTCACTCAGAAAATGTTGTTTCATTACATTCAACGGTGGTTTTATATACAGAATTTTGCCAAATTAAATCCAAATTTAGATTATTCTTGTATTTGATTTTTATATTTTGCTACTTTCAGAATACCAAGTAATGCGAGTGTAGCTAGTAAAAGCAGTGGAGGCAAGAGCAGTAGTGTAGAAAGGACATCAGAGCGAGGCTCCCCCATGCCGACCAGCTACTCGGTTGAGATAGTTGGTGGTGGTGGTGGTGTAATAGCAAGCAGAGTGCCCCAACATGCCACCCAGATCCCCCACACAGTGCACAGTCCACACTATCAAGAATGTCTCTGGCAGAGAAAGTATGTTTAATATATTCCCTGTACAGTAAACTAAAAAATTGCATCTGTAATACCTGTAATTTATCATTTTTATGCAAATATGGACTGATAATATTCTTTTAAATATCTATGTCTGTGGAACATGTTTTGTTTTATAGTTTGATAGTGGTTAAAAGTATTAAAAGTATTTAGTTTCATGAAGAGGATAAATCATTTGGAGAAAGAAAATTAAATCCTTAATTTGCATTTTAGGCTTTACAATTTTTGTCCATTATCTGATAACAAATATTTTATTTTAGTAGACCAAACCCAGGAGATGTAAGAAATATATCAATTGAGAAGTCTTCAGAAAAACTGGGAATTCAGATTCGTTGTCTAGAAAATGGAGGAGTGTTTGTTTCTTCTGTCACTGTCAACTCTTTGGCATCACAGGTAGGACTTACAAGTCATAACTGTTACAGTACAATGATAGTGTGGTGGATTATTTAGTATTTTAAGTATAAAAGATTTTCACATCAGAAATACCATTTTGACTATACAGTAATATTAAAAGAATGTGTGCTGATATCTCACTTATTGAGCTTCTATTTAAGCTTTCTATAACTGGTAGTTTCAATATTAAAGTACATTTTCCTACTGCCATTGTAGAATGTCGCTTGTCTTCCTTACAATATGTTTTTCTCCTTTTTTCCAATTTTACACAATACTGCACAAAATTAATATCAAAAAGTAATTTTTTATTGTCTTTATATTGTTTGTAAATTGTTTTGTCAATTTTATACCATTTGTGTTTTTATATAAACATAATGTTTATGTAATGGTTTCATCACATATCATAAAAATTTTTGAAAGAGGGCTAAAAAGCAAGATCGTAAAACACATGGAATCACAGTGCTTACATAGCCCTGTGCAAAATGGGTTCAGAACAGGGAGCTCCTGCCTCACACAATTGCTAAACCTCTATGACATGGCCTTAGATGCCATGGAAGACTTGAAACAAAAGCTTTCAAAAAGTGTGACCATTGCTCACAAAATGTGCAAAAAAGAATTACTGGCAAAGTACGGAAAAGGATCTTTAACTTCCTAATAAACAGAACCCAGAGTGCAATAGTCAACACTACTACACACTGTTGAACATCTGAATCATCCACTTTGAAAAGCTTAGTCTGCCAAGGTACCGTTCTTACTTTGGTAGTTTCCTCATCCTCATATCAGACACAGACAAGGATACAAACTACAGTATCGTATGATCCTCTGCAGATGACACTAGAATTTTCATGAGTAGACATCGTAGAGGACAGCAAATCTCAAATCCGATGTTAATCAGGTCTTTCAATGGGCCACAGAAAATAACATGATATTTAATGAGGATTAGTTCCAATTAATGCACTATGGAAAAAATGAAAATATCAAAGCAAAACCATATATAAAACAGTCAAACTGCATTATTGAAAGAAAAAGCAATGTATAAGACATAGGAGTAATCATAACAGAAGCCATTTTTTTTTTAAAGAACACAACAAAGTTGCTGTCATAACTGCAAGAATAATGACTGGTTGGAAAACATGAACCGTCCAAAGTAGAGATACCACATCTATGAAGATACTTTTTAAGACACTAGTGCTCTAGTAGAATAATGTTGTACACTAACATTCTCATTCATAGCTGGAGAAATTGCTGACCTGGAGAGTGTGCAATTATCTTTTAGCACTAGAATCAACTTGGTAAAACATCTAAATTATTTGAACCTTGAACTATTATTTAAAAATTTTGAATTTAAATGGATTAAATTCATTAATCGAGGCGCCACTGTATGTATTCCCTAGTGCAAGCAGGAGAGATACATAATAGTGTACACTTGGGAAATATTAGAAGGACTGGCTTCAAATCTGCACACAGAAATAACACCACATGAGACCATAATGGCAGAATGTGCAATATAGTCTCACTGAAAAGCAGAGGTGCAATAGGCATTCTGAGGGAGAGAACTCTATCAACATCAAAGCCCAAAACTTTTCAGCACTCTTCCCCTACATATACGGGGCATAACTGGCCAACCCCTCATGGTATTAAAGAGATCTCAACAGGTACCTTCAAAGGATATCAACCAGGCTGTGATTCATACATCAGGCTACAAGCAGCTGCATCGAACAGCCTGGGTTGATCAGACCAGCAACCAGGAGGCCTGGTCTGAGACCAGGCCATGGAAACGTTTATTCTCAGAATCATTATCAGGTAGGGTCTTGTCTTCCAATATGGATATGTCCAGAGTCATTAATCTTCCCTTGTTACTCGTATACAGTATCTTGTCTCTGGAATTCATTTTATTACATGCCATTGATCTTTTAAAAAAAAAATTAAATTTCTTGACAAATATTCAGGTATACAGTACTTTCAATTCTGTGAGCCACGAAGGCATGTGAAATGTATCGGAAAGATTATCCATGCACTCAAGGTCAGGGAAACACCGAAACAGAACAGGGTATCCAAGATATTGGTAGATAACAAAGATAGATGTTAAAGCTGACAATTTAAAAGATCAATCTGGAATATTGAGTCTTAGAAATATTTTTTTTATAAATTGCAGTGTATAAAATATTTACAAGAAAGTTTATTAAGATTAGAAAGTTCATTTGAACAGGCTGGTCTTTGTATTGGAGATCAGCTACTGGAAGTATGCGGTATCAACATGAGGTCTGCCAACAAACAGTCGGCCTCAACAGTGCTCTCCCAGTGTGGCACGTCTGTCTTCATGCGGGTTCAATACAACCCTGACAGTAAGTACAGTATAAAAAGCAGCAGCTTAGTTTTGGATCTTAATTAACTGTTTTAGGATTATAATGTTTTGTGCATTTGTGTAGCATTTCTTTAGCTGAATACAGTACACAACAGATTCTTGAAAAATTATGGAAAGAATATTATACATTTAATTATACTGTACTTATGTTTTTATTTTTTCAACAGAGTACCATGAAGCTGAGGGTTGGGAAGGCAGCAGCAATGGAGGCAGTCTGGAGGGGTCCCGGTCAGGGACTCCAACCCCACGCAACTCACCTAAACCAACTCAACATGAAACGTCTCACCCTGTTGATGATGATGACCTATCTCCCTCTACTACCTCTACTTTAAGAGGACCTCTAGACCTCCGTGAAACATTAGAGCATTCCCTTGATCATTCCTTGCCACCCTCGGCACGATCTACTCTTACTCGTCCAGAAATCACTCATATCATGAATACTCTGAAGAGACAAGAAACATTTTCCAGGTACAGTATATTGTTTACACCTAAATTTTGAGAGTAGTTGTAAAACGTAAAAATTGCAGTGCACTTTTTCTGGATTCTTTGGAGTGTATATTTAAAAATAAATCGGAGATTATATTATTATGCAGTTAACGTAGTTTTCAGCATAATCTTTGCTTTTAGCAAATAATTCATATAGCCCTCTGCAAAATCAATAAGTTATAAAACATATATTACAGACGTAGCGAGAACAGCGGTGGTGGAGGAAGTATTGGTGGTGGTAGCAGTGGAGGTGGAAGCAACTCGGGAGGCTGTAGTAGTGGAGGCAATATGGGTAGTACTAGTTGTGAACCAAGGGTTGTGTATTTGGAGCTCAACAAGTCTCATAACTTGGGTATCCAGATGGTTGGAGGGAATGCACTGGGCATCTTTGTCCATGCAGTTCCCCCAGATTCTCCTGCTGCGAAAGCTGGACTCCGACCTGGCGACCACATCCTGGAATACAACGGTGTAGATCTCCGCCATGCAACAGCAGAACAAGCTGCTTCAGAACTGGCCAAACCTGCTGACAATGTTAAAATGTTGGTGCAGTACAATTACCAAAGTAAGTTGATTTCAGATCCAGTGCACTGTTGAAAATACAAAAATTCTATATTTTAAATAAAATTAACAATATATTTGACTTTTGTGGCCATACTATGTTATCAAGGTAATTTTAGTGTTAGCATGA